AAGCATGATAGCAGAAAGAATTCGGGCACATTGAAGATGAAGATAGAAAAAAACAAACAAGCCACCTTTAGCAGTTTAGGCAGGAAATGAACACAGATCCTGTGGGGAGGTGAAGTTTTCTAAATGAGACTCTGTGTGAAGGTACCTCTATACATGTGTGTAAAAGTATTTTAAGGGCCAGCGCTTTGGGAGGCTGAGGCGGGCAATCACGAAGTCATGAGATCAACACCATCCTGGCCAACATAGTGAAACCCCGTCTCTACTAAAAATAGAAAAATTATCTGGGCATGGTGGCGCGCACCTATAGTCCCAACTACTTGGGAGGCTAAGGCAGGAGAATCGCTTGAACCTGGGAGGCAGAGGTTGCAGTGAGCCAAGATTGCACCACTGTACTCTAGCCTGGTGACAGAGTGAGACTCCATCTCAAAAGAAAGAAGAAAAAAAACGTATTTTAAAAGCTGCAAAACACAGTCACACAGTCGTTACAGAAAAGTGATCACTAAAGAATAAATTGGGTTGGGGCGGGGATGGTGGCTCACATCTGTGATCCCAGCATTTTGAGAGGCTGAGGTGGATGGATTGCTTGAGGTCAGGAGTTCGAGACCAGCCTGGCAAACATGGTGAAACCCTGTCTCTACTAAAACACAAAACAATTAGTCAGGTGTCGTGGCACATGCCTGTAATTTCAGCTACTTGGGAGCTTGAGGCACAAGAATTGCTTGAACCCAGGAGGTGGAGAGATCGTGCCACTGTTCTCCAGCCTGGGCAACAGAGTGAGACTGTCTCAAAATAAATAAATAAACACAGCCTGAGTGCGACTCACACCGATAATTCCATCACTTTTGTAGGTCGAGGCTGGTGGATCACTTGAGGTCAGGAGTTCGAGACCAGCCTGGTTAACATGTGAAACCCCATCTCTACTAAAAATAAATGTAAAAAAACATTAGCCAGGTGTGGCAGCATGTGCCTGTAATCCCAGCTACTCAAGAGGCTGAGGCAGGAGAATTGCTTGAACCTGGGAGATAGAGGTTGGAATGAGCCAAGATCACGCCACTGGACTCCAGGCTGGGAAACAGTGCAAGACTCCGTCTCCAGAAAAAAAAAAAAAAGATGGAATGATTCCTTTCGGGTAGGTTTGGTGTTTTGGGTTGTAAAAGGGAGGATAAAGAACTGGAAGGAAGTAGCTAGAGCACTAATGGGGACTCAGGTATTGTGCAGGTTTGAATGCAGGGGAGACAAAGCCAAGAGGAGGCAAGAGCAAAGGAACTTGGAGGAAAGTTTCTGTGATTCTATAACACGTTCCCTTTCTTGTCTGCATGATTTCAGCTGGTGGTGGGATACTCTGTGTATGTTTAATACACTTTCACACAGTTGGGGTTCAGTCTCTCAAATGTAAGGTTTTTTCTTCCTTTTCTTTTTTTTTGGGTGGGGGTGGGGGTAACGACAGAGTCTTGCTCTGTTACCCAGGCTGGAGTGCAATGGCAAGATCTCAGCTCACTGCAACCGCCGCCTCCAGGGTTCAAGCGATTCTCATGCCTCACCCTCCTCAGCAGCTGGGATTACAGGTGCCTGCTGCCTCACCCAACTAACTAACATTTTTAATAGAGATGGGGTTTCACCATGTTGACCAGGCTGGTCTCAAATTCCTGCCTTCAGGTAATCTACCCGCCTCGGCCTCCCAAAGTGCTGGGATTACAGGTGTGAGCCACTGCGTCTGGCCTCTTTATGGAAGGCTTTGAGTGGGGTGCAGGGAATGCCCCATGGGTGGTGTCCTTGGGGGAACCCCAGGTGCCCCTTGTTGCTGACCACTTTTGCTTCCAGCATGTCTGAGATGTGACGCTCTCTACTGGGAGCCACCTGCAAGGTGATTATGTGTTGAAACAAGCTCTCTTCTTGCCTTATTTTTCAGCCCAACAAAGAGGAAAGTGTCAGAGTAGAAGGGGTGTAAAATCTGGAGTCACTCTCCAGCCTCCGCATCTTGTTTGGCACTTAGTTTGTGCAAATGACCTGACCTCTCTAAGTCTCGACTCCCTTATCTGTAAAATAGGGATGATTTTGGCATTAGCTACCCTCTTAGCTACCCTGAACATGGTATGACATTGTAGAGGTGTCAATGCTTTGTAAACTGCAGAGGACTTTAAGTGCCAGCCACTGCCACGTTTTAAATGCGGAGAACCGCATTTCTTACCACCTTGCAAAATAAAACTTCACAGTTTATTTGGGTTGGGTGTAATTACTGAGAGAAAAAAGTGTAAAAATAATAATGTTTTAGAAATTTCCCCAAAGAAGAAATGGTATTGGCTGGGGCTGCCTTCCCAGGGGCCCTGGAACCCTGAGGGTGCTTGACCTGCAAATGGCCCAGCGCTGAGCAGGAGAACAGCCAGATGGCCTTGCTAGCTCCCTCCCTGTGCAAACATCTCTCACCCAGCCGATTCAACAACCCTCCCTGGGTCAAGAGGCTCCTCCATGCTGCTTCTGTGTGGTGTAGCCCAGAAACTGGGCGGCTGGGGCATGGGGCTCTGGACTTTGGTTATGTGTTTAATCTAGGTCCCTGAGCTACAGGGTCATCTGCTTTGGCTCTTTCTCTGCTTGTGTAAACAGGCCTGGTGGGCCCATCAGTACAGCCAGGCCCCACTCTCATGCTCTCCTCCTGTAAACACATTACAAAGAATCTTTGTAACTGCCCTGGCAGAGCAGCTCTGCTCAGTGGAAGGGAGCCTGCATCTGGAGGGGGTGACACTGGGGGCAGGGATGGATGGGGAAAGAGTGGGGAGGAGGGGGTAGGTAGGGCAGGGGTGGTGCTCACCAATACCTCCTATACCATGCAGTACAGAAAAGTAAGCTTTGCCCAAGGTCTGGCTGTGAGAGGAGGGGGCCTGTTGTCTGCAGCAGAAAACAAGGTAGCAGGGAGGCTGGTGTTACAAAAGGGGTGAGCTGGAGTGGAGCATGGAATCCCAGCAATTTGGGAGGCTGAGACGGGGCGATTATTTGAGACCAGAAGTTTGAGATCAGCCTGTGCAACACGGCAAGATTTTGTGTCTACAAAAAATACAAAAATTAGCTGAGCGTGGTGGCATGTGCCTGTAGTCTGAGCTACTTAGGAGATGAAGGCAGGAGGATCACTTGAGGCCAAGAGTTGGAGGCTGCAGTGAGCTATGATCATACCACTGTACTCCATCCTGGGTATCAGAGCAAGATCCTGTCTCTAAAAAAAAAAAAAGAGAGAAAGAAAAGGGGAGAACCTTTATTTCCTAACATCCTGCAGCCCTGACACTTTTCTTAACTTAGCAATTCAAATGTGGTTTAAAAAAAAAAAAAAAAAGAACTAGGCTGGGTGGGGCGGCTCACGCCTGTAATCCCAGCACTTTGGGAGGCCGAGACAGGCAGATCACCTGAGATCAGGAGTTCAAGACTAGCTTGGCCAACATGGTGAGACCTCGTCTCTACTAGAAATACAAAAATTAGGCCGGGCGCGGTGGCTCAAGCCTGTAATCCCAGCACTTTGGGAGGCTGAGGCGGGTGGATCACGAGGTCAGATCGAGACCATCCTGGTCAACATAGTGAAACCCCGTCTCTACTAAAAATACAAAAAATTGGCCAGGCGTGGTGGCTCATGCCTGTAATCCCAGCACTGTGGGAGGCCGAGGCGGGTGGATCACGAGGTCAAGTGATCGAGACCATCCTGGTCAACATGGTGAAACCCCGTCTCTACTAAAAATACAAAAAATTAGCTGGGCAT